TTTAAGATCTATGCATTTCACTCTATGTCAATTTCACCTCAGTGAAGAACAAAACAAACATTGTTAGCTACTACTAATCCCTTGACTGTTAATATACATTGCAGTTATTTCCCCCATTTCTCACTTATATGGGGTCTTTTATCATACAGAGGCTTTTAATTTTAATAGTTAAATTTATTTTTTTCATTTATGATTTCTATATTTGTGTGTCTTACTTTAGAAAATATCTCTTATTCTAGGTTTATAAACATATTCTATTTTTTTCAATATTTTTATCATTCTTGTGTGAGAAAGAGAGAGGGACACAGAGACATGTAACTATTGATTAGCTGGAGACCATGTGCAAATTTCCTAACGTTGCTAAGTCTTGGATTTCTCATCCATGAAATAGGAATAATATTTTGTTTTGTAATTGACATGATTGGACGAGGAAACATTTAAAGGCCATAAAATTCTTGACCCATTAAGAGGGTAGCTATTGTTATTATCTATTATGGTGTTTGACATTTTATCATAATTCTTCATGTATCTGTCTCTTTCATTAAGGCTTTTCAGTGGTAGGAAATGTGACTTTCCTCAGTGCCTAACCTGGTACCTGGCATTTAGCAGTTGTTTAAATTTTGTTGAATGAATGGATTGGTTGATGGGATATATGAATAACAAGATAAAAACCAAGCAGTAAAGAGAAAATGAAGGAGATATTTTATTAATCAGTTCTGATATGAAACTAAACACAAAACCAACTACAGCAGAGAGAACCTTATTAAGTATTGATATTTAATATCTACAGCATATTAGGTTCTTGTTCAAGGATGGGCTCCAAGAGGGCTGAGGTTCCATTGACTGAAATTGCATATAAATGTTTAAGTGGACATACATTTTCTAGAGAGAGAGTCCATGGCCAGATTGTATTTCTAGGAGGCCAGGGATCATGGATACTTTGTCTGTCATTGGATTCCAGCCCACAGAACAGAGCCTGGCAACCAACAGATGTTTATTGAATAAATATCTGACTGACAATGAAAAGCTTTCATCAGATTCTCAAAGGGGTCTGTAATCTCAAAAAGTCTTAAGATCCAGGGCCGGCCCGTGGCTCACTTGGGAGAGTGCGGTGCTGATAACACCAAGGCCCTGGGTTCGGATCCCATAGAGGGGTGGCCAGTTTGCTCACTGGCTGAGCATGGTGCTGACAACACCAAGTCAAGGGTTAAGATCCCCTTACCGGTCATCTTTAAAAAAAAAAAAAAAAAAAGTCTTAAGATCCAATAATCTCGAAGGAGAAAATCAATTTCTGCGAGGAGCTTTATCTGGGTCAGAGACCTGAAAGGAATTTTTCACCATGGGATGATCGAGGAACCCCTCCCTTGATTTCTTTCAAGAGACTGGGCAATTCTCTTCTCAGTCGGCTTTCTGATTCTCACTTGATAGGCTGTGGTCAGGCATGAATCATAACCCATCTTTTGCTACGTACTATCTGTGTGACCTTGGTTAAATTATATAAGCTGTCTAAGGACCAGTTTTCCACAATAGCATCCACCTTGAGGGCCTGTTGAGTGGATTAAGTAAAAATGTTGATACATGTTGGAGCATTATAGTGCACAACTTATTTTGTGCCCTCTCCTGTTCCCCACCACCACCATTTTTTTTTCCTATGTAAGACATTTGTTCACATCCACATATCCTGATTCTCGGGCTTCAAGGCAGTTCCTTGCTCCAACCAGTTTGCCTTTTCTAGTCTATAGAATTACTTGATTTGACCAGATAAATATCAATTATGGTCATTTGCGAGAACTGCTGTCCAAATATGCCTAATTACTTCACAGCACAAGAATAATGAGGGAAAATTCACATTTGTTGACTTCCTATTGTGTACCAGTACTATGTTGAACACTTTCATGCTTTTTCTTACCCTACAAATTAGACTTGTTATTAAGTGGAAGCACTGACAAAGTTTTTGCTATATGGATATTAGTTTTGTACCTGGATCATAGCATGCATTAAGAAAGTTGTACACCAAGCTCAAGGGTTCAGATACCCTTACCAGCCAGCTCCCCCCCCCAAAAAAAAATTGTTGACTGAACAAACTTTGTTTTAGGTTTTAACATAAACTTCGCAAATGTTTAAGCATGGACAGACATGTTCCCAACTTTAAAATGACACTGAAGGTTGAACTCAGGAAAACTTACCTGTACAAAACTGTTTTTAATAAATTGACCAACAAATATTTATTGAGTGAATACTTTGTTTAAACTATGAAAAGACCTGGAACTTGTAAGTTCATACTACTCTAGGAGTTGAAGTCCTGGCTGGGGAGACCAAAATTAGGGAGATGTTGACTCGTTGGCCCAAGCTGGGCTGGGTGTGACTGGGGCATTAATGGGCAGAGACCTATGTAGGTGGTCGGGAGAGATCTTTTGGCAGGACTGAGCAAGGAGGATTTAGTGGGAAAGAGAATTGATTCAGTGTTGGGAAACTTGGGCTCAAGTTCTGGCTGAGGCTTAATTGGTGGAGTGACTTAGGGCAAGTCCCTGAACCTCTCCAGACCTCAGTTTAGAATATGAAACATAAATTGGGGAGGCAGGGTGTTGTTGAACTTGCTCAGTTATTAAGTGCCTTCCAGTTCTTAGGTGCTAAGATTCTCTATCAGCCACGTTTATTTTTCCTTTGAGAAGAAAACACTTTCTATGCTTGGAATTTCAATTAAGCCAATCAATGGCATTTGTAAAGCACCTGCTATATACTCGAGGAGACTGGGCCATCAATTTTCACCCCCATGGCTGTTTTTAAATTATTATTATTTTTTGGTAGCTGGCCTATACAGGGATCTGAACCCTGGGCCTTACCACTCTTAACGTTGAAGTCCCCTTGGTGCTACATGTTGGTGCTCTAACCAACTGAGCCAACCAGCCAGCCACAATTTCCTTCCTTTTTAAGGCTAAATAATGTTCCATTATATGTTGTGTAAACCATACCTTGTTTATCCATTCATATGTCAGTGCACACTTGGGTTGCTTCCACTTTTTGGTTCTTGTGAATAATGCTGCTATAAACATGCATATACAAATCTCTCTTTGAGACCCTGCTTTCAGTTCTTTTGGATATATACCCAGAAGTGGAATTGCTGAATCATATAGTAATTTTATTTTTATTTTTTTAGGAACTGCCATACTATTTTTTGATACCAGCTGCACTATTTTATATTTCCACCAAAAGTGCACAATCGTTCCACTATCTCTACATCCTCACGAACACTTATTTTGATTTTTTGATAGTAGCCATCCTAATAGGTAAAAGGTGCTGTCATTTTGATCCCTAATGATTAGTGATGTTGAGCATCTTTTCATGTATTGTTGGTCATTTGTGTATCTTCTTTCAAAAATGTCTGTTCAAGTCTTTTGCCCGTTTTTGTTTTTGCTTTTTAAAGAAGGCATAACAAATTTTAACTGCTGGGGATGGGCAATGCATGGGGGAATCACAAGATAGTAACTTCCCAGTTTCCCAGTGGGGAAGCTTATATACCTATTTTCATAGGGGTGAGGGGAGGTGGGGAACGTAGACAATTCTTTTGAGGAACAGTAAATGAGTATTAGGGGATGAGACCAAGAGGCAGAAATTATCATGTGAAAGGTCTGTCCAGGTGTCTTTGCCTTGGGTTTTAATCAGGTTGCTTCTTTCTGTGACTGTTGTTGAGTTGTAGGAGTTCTTTCTATATTCTAGGTATTAACCCCTTATCAGATACTCATATATGATTTGCAAATATTACCTCCCATTCTGTGGTTGCCTTTTCACTCTGTTGATTGTGTTATTTGATGCACAGAAAGAGACTGTCTTTTCCCACTGAATAGTCATGGCACTCCTGTCAAGAATCATTTGACCATGTGTGTGAAGGTTTTGTGACATACACTTTCGCGACTGGTGGTACAGAATGATATGGTCTCTGCCTTAAGGAAGCCACAGTTAAGTTATATCCTCAGATTCCGTTTCAAGCAGCATGTGTCCAGTGCTAGATACGTGCTCTGAAGCTGACTTTGCCTCTGAAGCTTCCCATCTAACCTAGGATGGTCCCTTTAATAGAGAGGTAAACGTAGTCCCTGGGAGAGCACGGTTATGGCTTATGCGGGGGCACGGACAGAGACAGGATTTGAACCATGACTTCCTGGCTCCATGTGGCATGGTATTTCAGGTAAGATGTTCTCATCTCTGAAATGTGGACACAAATGAAATGAGATGATCACTGTTGAGCAGCCTTGAGCTCTAGAATCCTATGCATTGAGGAGTCGCTAAACGTCTACCGTGAGGTGTAGACAGTAAGCATTACCGGGGTTCAATGAAGAGCGGAGCCCAGACACCACTCCCAGCCCAGAAGGGCAGAGTCCTAAAGCGGGAGCTCCACCCCGCCGGGCGGACCCCTGCTCCTCACCCGGAACCTGGCGCCGCTGGGCTGTGCTACTGGCTCGGGTGGGTGACTGGCCACAGAAAAACGCCGGCAACGAGATTCTCGTTGAAATTCTCCCCTCGCCCCTCCGGAGGGAGATTGGAGGGTTCTGCAGGGTCTCCAGCATTAGCCCCCTTGCTTCTCTCCGGTTCTGTCACCTCCCGCGGAGTTATTCCTTGCACGTTGCCCCTTTGCTGCATTTCTCTTTGGTACGCCCCCGCTGTGACTGCGAGAGGCGAGGCAGGCGTCCGCGTGGCCACTGCGCATGCGAGCCCGCCGCGGGGAGGGGGGGAGGGGGAGAGGGAAGAGCCGAGCACGGACCCCGCCCCTTCTCGGCCCCACGCGTGACGTGGCGGGGGCGCCGGCCTCCGCCCGGCTCCGAGCGGTGAGAGTGAGCGGCTGGCGGACCCGGCACGCAGACCGGGACGGGCCACGGGTGCTGAGATCCTTCGGGAAGGGTGGGGGATGGGGGCCCAGGTGCATCGCGGCCGCTGACCCTCAGGCTCTGTCCGTCCCCCTCCTTTTTTTCCCTTCCGGAAGTGCCGGGACGGGAAGCTGAGCATTTGTGACACCTGCATTTCCGTGGCTCCCTCCTCTTCCCCCCACCCTATATGTTTATCTCCTCGCTTTCCAGATGTTCCTTTTAATCAGGCTGTCGCTTCTTGCGTGTGGAAAAGCACTTCACGTGGAGCAGGAGACGGGTTTCAGACCTGGGCCTTACCACTCTTAACGTTGAAGTCCCCGAGCCTCAGTTTCACCCAGAGTATTTTTGCCTTGCCTCACCTGGTTTTGAGGATCAGTATGACGGAGAGAGAGGAAATGGACATTTATTGAGTTCCTCCATGGCCAAGTACCATGCAGACTGCTTTATCAGCCACGTTTAATTTTCATTACTTGGTGTTCCTAGAGCTCCCATTTCACAGTTCTTAAGCTCACAGAGGTTAACTGACCTGGTCTCACATAGCTGGTGAGTGAGTAGCAGGGAGGGAGTCGGACCTAGCTATTTAGCTCCAAGGCGAAGTTCTCCTCAGACACTTCCCATGTCTGGGCTCAGCCAAACCCTAGCCCCAAAGCAGCTGCTTCCTATTTCTTTGGCTGAGAATTCTCCCTTTCAGGTTCCTTTTTTTCAGCAGAGCGCTCTGCTCTGCTTCTGCCTTGATTACTTCCGAAATGAAATGCAGCAAACATTTATTGAGTGGTGCCGAGAGATTAACTTTTGGAGTCAAAAGCCTTGGATTCTTGTCCTGGCTCTGCCACTAATTGGCTGCGTGGTATTGAACAAGTCCCTTGTCTTCTCTGAGCTTTAGCTTCCCTTTGCATAAAATGGGTGAGTGCCCTCTGACCAGAAGGATCTTGTCCCGTTTTCCCTCCCTGTCCTCCAGCAGGCTCTGCGTGGACGCCCAGACCCCTCTGCTCCCCATGGGCAACTGCCAGGCAGGGCACAACCTGCATCTATGTCTGACCCACCACCCACCTCTGGTCTGTGCCACCTTGATCCTGCTGCTTCTTGGCCTCTCTGGCCTGGGTCTTGGTGGCTTCCTCCTTACCCACAGGACTGGCCTGCGCAGCCCTGACATCCCTCAGGTAAGTACCCTTCTGTTCATCCTGATGATGAAGGCCTACTCTTGCTGCTAATCTCATCTCACCTCTCTCCCACTCTCCTTTTGCACACAGGACTGGGTCTCCTTTTTTAGATCTTTTGGCCAGCTGACCCTGTGCCCCACGAATGGGACAGCCACAGGGAAGTGGCAAGAGTCTCACGTCGTGGGCTTACTGACCACCTTGAACTTCAGAGATGGTCCAGACAGGAACAAAACCCAGACATTCCAAGCCACAGTCCGGGGTAGTCAGATGAGATTGAAAGGTGAGATCAGGGAGGATTGTGGGGTCTGGCATCATAACACTCAAGACTGGGCCCTGCCTTTGACTCCACCAACTTGGCAACCTTGGGCACATCCCTGGGCCTTAGTTGCTTTTGCTGTAATGAAGATTAGATACTTTCAGTGAACGTGATGCCCACAGTGTAGCTTCTCCATAAATGTTTTCTCTTTCCCCTTCTAGTTCTGTGTTTCTTTGATTTTATCCTTGAGGTGTGATGAGGGCTAGGTTTGACTCAGTGTTCCTTCTCATCCCTATACCTGCCTCATCTTAGAGGCATCTTTTTCCTCAGGAATTTCAGAGAAGCATGTTCTGTTCAATTAAACTAGTATCTTAATTGCCTGTTAGGTGCTTAGAACAGTTCTGTGTGCTACAGAGGATACAGGAAAATATTAGACACCATCAATTTGCAACAACCTTATAGTCTTCTGGGAAAATGACAAATGAGAAAAAGAGAAAGTCTTTGGGTGCCATTATTTCCTGTGTGACTTTTGGCCCCAGGTTCCTTATGTAAAAAATAGGGAGATGAAGAAAGAGGAAAGAAAGGTGGAATTTTGTGACTTCTGAGGTCCTTTCCATCACTGCTATCATTCTGAGATTCTCCTGAGTCACATATGGGGAGGGGGGTAGGTCTACATGTGCCCAGATGTACATGAATGTGAACAAAGAACAAGAATAAGGAATGTGTCTGATGTCTACAGACTTGGGACATTTTCCCTTATTCTTTTTACTTTTAAAAAAATATGTAACAGCTTTATTGAGCTATGATTCACATACCATACAATTCACATATTTAAAGTGTACAATTATGCTTGTAACATAAAGGTCATGGGTTTGGATCCCCATGCTGGCCAGCTGCCAAAAAAATAAAAATAAAAACATAAATAAAGTGTACAATTATAGTTAGAGCGTGGTGCTGATAACACCAACAACCAGGGTTCAATCTCTGTGCTGGCCAGCTGTCCAAGAAAAAAAAAAAAACAAAGTGTAAAATTAATGGCTTTTAGTATATTTACAAAAGTATGCATCCGTCATCACTATCCATTTTAGAACATTTTCATCACCCCAAAAAGAAACCCTACAGCTATTAGCAGTCATTCTCCCTTTCCTCCCCAGTCTCTCAGCCCTAGGCAACCACTAATCTATTTTCTGTCTCTGTAGATTTGCCTGCTGTGGACTTTTAATACAATACATGGTCTTTTGTGACTGGCTTCTTTCACTTGTCCTGATGTTTTTAAGGTTCATCCATGTATCTGTACTTCATTTCTTTTTATTGCTCAGTAACATTCATTGTGTTAATATTCTAAATTTTTATTCACCCATTCATCATTTGATTAATATTTGGGTTTCCACTTTTTGACTATTATGAATGATGCTGCTATAAACACTCATGTCAGCATTTTTTGTGGACATATGTTTGAATTTCTCTTGAGAATATACTTTCAGATGGAATATATAACTCTATCTTTTGAGGATCTGCCAAACTGTTTTCCAAATTGGCTATAACCTGTTACATTCCCACCAGCATGAGATTTCCAGTTTATCCACATCCTCACCAACAATTGTTATTATCTGTCTTTTTGATTATAGCCATCTTAGTGTGAAATATCTCACTGTGGTTCTGACTTGCATTTTCCTGATGACTAATGTGATTGGTAATGATTTTTCATGTACTTATTGGCCATTTGTATATCTTGTTTGGATAAATATATTTTCAGAGTCTTTGCCCATTTTTAAAATTAGGTAATTTGTTTTTTAATTATGGAATTGTAAGTGTTCTTTATTTTCTAGATACAAGTCCCTTAACTGATAAATGATTTGCAGATCTTTTCTTTCGTTTTGTGAGTTGTCTTTTTACTTTGTTGATGGTATTCTTTGAAGCACAAAAAGTTTTTAATTCTGATGAAGTCCAATTTATGTATTTTTTATTTGTTGCTTGTGCTTTTAGTGTCATATCTAAGAAGGCTTTGCCTAACTCAAGGTCACTAAGATTTACTCTTCTATTTTCTTCTAAGGATTTCATAGTTTCAGCTTTCAAATTTAGGTATTTGATCCATTTTTAGTTAATTTTTGTGCATGGTATGAGGATGGGGTCCAAGTTCATTCTTTTGCATGTGGCTCTCCAGTTGTCCCAGCCCCTTTTGTTGAAAAGACTATTCTTTCCCCATTGAAAATCAATTGACCAAAAATGTATAGGTTAATTTCTAGACTCAATAGTTCTACTCTATTGTCTATATGTCTATCTTTATGCTTGTACCACACTGTTTTGATTACTGTAGTTTTGTAGTAAGTTTTGAAATAAGGAAATGTGAGTCCTCTGACGTTGTTCTTCTTTTTCAAGATTGTTTTGGCTATTCCAGATCTCTTGAATTACCATACGAATTTTAGGATCAGCTTGTTAATTTTTGCTTCTGCAAAGAAGCCCTATTATTATTATTTTTTAAATAATGGTTAGAAACAAAGTAAAAATATCAAAGATTCCTGTGGAGAAAACAATTACCTATGATTGCATCATCCATGCAACAATTATTGAGTACCTACTATGTACCAGGCATGGGGAATACAGAGATCTTTAGTACATGGGCCTTCCCCTCAAGGTGCTCACAGTCTAGCTAGGATACAGATGGTAATAGATGGAAATACCTTTCTTTCTTTCTCTCTCTCTCTCTTTTTTTTTTTAAAGATGACTGATAAGGGGATCTTAACTCTTGACTTGGTGTTGTCAGCACCACACTCTCCCAAGTGAGAACCAGCCATCCCTATATAGGGATCAGAACCCGAGGCCTTGGTGTTATCAGCACCATGCTCCCAAGTGAGCCATGGGCTGGCCCTGGAAATACCTTTCAATATGTGAAGTATAACACAAGGTACAGTGGGAGTGCCCAGCAGTCTGTAAAGCAGGAATACCAAAGACAGGCTTTGGTAAGAGTGCAGTGCCTCAGTTGAGGCTTGGGGCATGCTTAGGAGTGAACAGATCTGGCCAGAGGGAACAGCATATGCAAAGGCATGTAGATAGAACCACTAGGGCATATTTAGGAACTTCCAGGGGTTCAGCTGGGCTGCTGCAGGGGAAGGGATTTGAATGAATAGTGGGTGATGGTCTAAAGAAGGAGGCAGAAACCTATGGAGGGTCTTGTGTGCCCAGGCTAGGAGCTGGACTTTATCCAGCACATTGGGCAAACTCAAAGATTTTAATCAGGAAAGTAACAGGATTTTGTTTTTGTTGTTCTTTTTTGAAAGATCACACCCTATTGGCTGACTGCCTGGAAGGAATGTGTCCAGACTCAGAAAGACTAGCTACAAGGTGGTTACAATAAAGAGAGGATAAGAACAGCTGAGCTGAGACAGCTGTGTGATCTGAGAGATGTTGCAAGTGTGGGACTGATTCGATGTGGGTGGTGTAGAAGAAAGGGGACAAGTTCTCTAATAGAATTTTACATGTATGTTTTTCAGTTGCAATTGTGGTATGTATACCATTTGTATTTCCTTTTTTTCCCTTACGTGTAAGTGGTGTTCCACATTACTACATGGTCTTCAACATTATTATTATTATATATATATTTGGGGGGCAGATGGCCTATATGGGGATCCAAACCCTTGACGTTGGTATTGTCAGCACCATGCTCTAAGCAACTGAGCTAATTGGCCAGCCCAACATTATTATTTTAATGGCCATAAATTGATCTATTAAGTGGCTAGGCCATCATTTGTTAATGCTTTCCCTGTTAAATATCTCTATTGTTTCCTACTTTTTGATGTTTTTGATAAAATCACAGTAAACATCTTGGTATACTTTGTATTTTTCTTTTTAGTCCTTTCCTTAGGATTAATTTCTGTAAGTGGTATTACTGAGTCAAAGGGTATGGGCTTTTTTTTTTTTTTTTTTAACTGTATAAATTAATTTTGTTGTGGATTCAGACCATGCAGAAGTATGCAAAGCAGATGTAAAAGAAGTCCACAGTGTGTTGGGCATCCTCTCAGTCCCTCTCTTGTCCATTTAATTGTGACAGATACAGCTAAATTGTCATGTAAAAGTGAGAATGGCCACTTCCTCACATCTTCAACAATTCTCATTATCATCAATCTTTTTAATTTTTACCAATTTAATGGGTTAAAGAATTACCTGATTGTTTTAATTTACTTTCTCCTTATTGCCAGTGAGGCCGAGCTTCTTCTTAAGGGTTTATTGGCCATTTTCAAGTCATATGTGGATTATTTGTTGTATTAGTCCATTTTCTGTTATGTATAACAGAATACCTGAAACTGGGTAATTTATAAGAAAATGAAATTTATTTCTTACGGTTTTGGAGGCTGGGAAGTCCAAGGTCCAGGGGGTGTATCTGGTGAGGGCCTTCTTCATAGGGACTTTCTGAAGAGTCCCCAGGGAGGTGCAGGTATTGTGTAATAGTCCATTTCTGTTACCTACAGCAGAATACCTGAAATTGGGTAACTTATTTTAAAAAAAGAAAGAAAGTAATGTTTTTCTTACAGTTTTTGAAGGCAGGGAAGTCCAAAGACCAGGGAACACATCTGGTGAGGGCCTTCTTTTTGGTGGCTCTCCACAGCAGTACAGGGAATCATGTGGCAAATGGGCTGAGCAAGAGAGCTAACCTGTTCACTCACCCTCCTTATAAAGTCATCAGAACCATGCCTATTACCACCCATTAAACCATCAACTTATTACTCCATGAATGGATCAATCCATTCACTAGGGCATAGTCCTCACGATCTAATCATCTCTTAAAGGCCCCATTTTCAATTACCATACTAGGATTTCCCACCCTCAACACTGTTACGGTGGAGATTAATACATGAACCTTTGGGGGACACAATTCAACCCATAGCACATCGTGATGGGGGAGAGCATGCTAATGTGCTCACTCGCTATCTTTGTAAAGCCACCGATGCCCTTTCCATCATAACCCGCTCATCCATTAACCCATTAATCCATTAATCCATGAAGAGATTAGTCCATTCATGAGGGCATAACCCTCACAATCCAATCATCTCCCTAAAGTCCCACCTCTCAACATTGCCACATTGAGGATCAAGCTTCCACATGAGCTTTGGAGGGGACGTTCAGACCATAGCATCTGATTGTATCCTTTGCTCATTTTTCTTTAAAGTTATTTATCTTTTTCTTCTTGACTTATTCTAGAGAGTAAATGTTTTTATAGATTACATGTATTATAGATATTTCAACCAATCTATCTTTTTTTTAATGTATCTTTCAGTGTAGAGAGGTGTTTAATTTTCATGAAGTTAGTTTTATTGCTCTTCACCATTATAAAGCCCTTTAAGTTTTGTGTCTTTCATAGGAAGGCCTTCCTCACTTTACAATTAGAAAATATTTGTCTACTTTCTTTTAATACTTAAGGTCTTTTTCTTTTTTTAGTTTGTGTAATTCTTTAATACATCTGGACTTTATTTTATACTGTGAGATAGCAGTCTAACTTTATACTTTTTTCCACATGGAAATTGTCCCAAGGCCATATACTGAATAGGCCATCCTTTCCCTGCTAATTTAAAATAGGGAGTGAACCTTTTAATGGACTTTGGTACCTAGTGGAAAACTGCTTTCTTTAAAAGGACAAACTAGTTTGTACAACTGACATCAGCAACGTGTGTCTGCCCATTTCACTGCAACCTGTGAGTATTGGCATGATTATTTTATTGATTGTAAGCTAATTTAAGTTAATTTGTGCTTATAATACACAGTTACTTTCATTTCTCAATGATATAAATGATGGTATATGGAGTACATTGTTGAATAGAATCAATGTCAAAGCACTTGTATTACAGGAAGCCTTCAAAATGAATAGAAGTTTGAAGATGGATGGTACCCTTCATTTTCTTCCATCTCCTCTCCTGTGCTTCTCACAGGATCCTTTGCTGAAAAGATGGTCCTCATCACAGCCAGGGTGAACAAAGAAAGGACCCTAGGAACCTGCCTATATTTTAGTGCTGCCCCAGGAATCCTGCCTACCAGCCAGCCACCCATATCCTGCTCTGAGGAGGGGGCGGGAAATGCCACACTGAGCCCTAGGATGGGTGAGGAGTGTGTCAGGGTCTGGAGTCACGAAGGCCTTGTGCTTACCAAGCTGCTCACCTCGGTAAGAGCCTCAGGTTGGTTGTCAGGGTTTGGTAGATTGCCACGCTGAATGCTGTATCTTGAAGGTTCCTGAAGGCAATTTTACCTAGTAGGAAAAGTACAGGCTTTCTAACCCTGCCTTGGAGGCTGTGTGACTTAGAGCAAGCCTCTGAACCTTTCTGAGCATCAGCTTCCTCATCTGTAAAACATGATGCAATCTTTTGATTATTTCCAACAAATAAGGATTACATGAGAATGACTGTAAAATGCTCAGCACAATGCCTGGTACGTAACAGATTTGATGAATGAAAGCTGTTACTGTTTACTGTTGTCTTTAAATACAATAAAACGTGATCTCTACCTCAGAGGAATTTAGAAGCGGTAATAAGAGGCAGAATGGGCTAATTGCTATCATAGAGATGTGAGCAGAGTGTTATGTAAACACAGATTAAGGAGCAGTTAGCCCTAACTTAAACATTTCACTTCACAGAGTGTACTTCACAGAGAAGGTGGCATTTAAGAAAGAGAATTGTGTATAGGAGTTTATAATGTACATAGCGCTTTCAGGTTCATTATCTTATTTCATCTTAAAATAGCCTTTTGAGGTAGGTGTTATTATACCATTTTACAGATGAGGAAACAGGTTTAGAGAGAAGGAGTGAATTGCCTAAGGCCACACAACTGGTGAAGTGGCAGAGCCAGGATTGCAACCTACTGCTTCTGCTCTATTAGGATGATCCTTGAAGAATGAGGAAGATTTGGGCAAGGAGGGCACTAAAGGAGGTTCAGAAGAGGAGAGATACAGTCCAGGCAAAGGGACAAGCATGAACACAGACCTAGAGATTGAAAGTGTTTAGCCTTTGGGGGCACTTCTTGATGAGAGACTCAGGAGTGCCTCAGGAGAAGAGGCAGGAGAGACTGCAGGCCCTGATCATGAAGCACTAGCTGTGAATGCCAAGCTAGGACACTAGACTTGACACTGAAGTCCGTGGAGGCTGCTGAGGGTTTTAAGGAGGAGAGAGAAGTGCTCCACTGGTGCTGGGTGGAGGAGACTGGCTGAGTGGAGGGACGGAGGTCAGTTAGGAGGCTGCTGCATATGCTTCCCTGGCATTTGAAAAGACCCTGTGCAGAGCATGACTTCAGAACTTGGAATCAAAGAAGCCCGGGTTTCTAGACCTGGCACTGCTTGCACATCTTTTAAGTGTGGATAAGTCATTATGGGGGGTTCAGGTTGATGGTTGGGCAAGAAAGTGGTTTGGAAGCCATTGAGACAAATGTTAGCTTGTATAAAAATAATAATTTCCCTTTAGTAGCTCCCTAGATGTGGAGAGGCCTCTACATCCTGGAGGCTTTTCTCCATAGCCCTTGGGCTAAGGGCAAGATGCCTTCCCACAGGAAGATTCCCCACCCTTCCTCTCTCCATCATTCCCCTTTGCTCCCTGTGCCCATCCCTAGGAGGAGCTGGCTCTGTGTGGCTCCAGACTGCTGGTCTTGGGCTCCTTCCTGCTTCTCTTCTGTGGCCTTCTCTGCTGTGTCACTGCTGTGTGCTTCCACCCGCGCCGGGAATCCCACTGGTCTAGAACCCGGCTCTGAGGGCACTGGCCTAGTACCCACCATGTTCAGGTGAGGTTCTTTGCTCTAGTCCTGTGGAAGCAGGGGATGGGTTGGGGGTGGCAGTTGTAACTGGAGTAGAGCAGGTCCTTGGAATCCACACTCAAATATTGCTTCTTCTCAGTCCCTGAGAACCCTATTCAACTATAGCTGTCCTTGTAGAGGCTGGAAACAACTTACACCATCAGTATTCGATATTTTTCTTACTATTTTTATTTTATTGTTATTTTTTTTTAAAGATGACCGGTAAGGGGATCTTAACCCTTGACTTGGTGTTGTCAGCACCACACTCAGCCAGTGAGCAAACCGGCCATCCCTATATGGGATCCGAACCCGGGGCCTTGGTGTTATCAGCACCACACTCTCCCAACTGAGCCATGGGTCGGCCCACTATTTTTATTTCTTTAATTATGAAATATTTAACATTCATGTTGAAAAGCCCAAAAAACATAAAAGTACAGCTTGTCAAATTATTATAAAGTAGACACTTGTAAATAGCACTCAGGGAAAAAGTAGAATATTATGGGAAACCCAGAAGCTCCCTACGACCCCTCCCTCCCTCCCTCCCCAAGGAAGCCCTCCATCACTCTAGAAGTAGCTACTGTCCTGCTTTATGGTTTATTACCAAGTATGCAGTCCTAAACAATATGGTTTGGTTTTACTTATTTTTGAACTATATATAGATGGAATCATCTTTTGTGATTGACTGCTTTCAAGTAACGTTCTGATTTTTTTTTTTTTTTAAAGATGACCGGTAAGGGGATCTTAACCCTTGTCTTGGTGTTGTCAGCACCACGCTCAGCCAGTGAGTGAACTGGCCATCCCTATATAGGATCCGAACCCGTGGCCTTGGTGTTACCAGCACCACACTCTCCCGAGTGAGCCAGGAGCCGGCCCGTAACATTCTGATTTTAAGATTCTCTCATAGCTGTAGTTGACATCCAAGCTTTTTGGCAACAATGGTGAGTTAAGAGGTTTCAAGTTTGATGATTCCTTCTGGGTATGAATCATGTTTGTCTCACCTTTGTCCTGAAATTCTGATACCCAGTTTTATGATGCAAATTTTGTAAAATTCAGCTTGAACAGCTCATAAGAATCTAATTGATGATCCCCATTTATTGGGCACATAGCACTTTATATGCATCTTATCTTTTCTATTTAGTCACTGTTGCATTCAGAAAAAGTTGATTCTTTTGGGCCGGCCCTGTGGCTCACTCAGGAGAGTGGGGCGCTGGTAGTGCCGAGGCCGCGGGTTCAGATGCTATATAGGGATGGTTGGTGCGCTCACTGGCTGAGCGTAGTGCTGACCACACCATGCTGAGGGTTGTGATCCCCTTACCGGTCAAAAGAAAAAAAAAAAAGAAAGAAAGAAAAAGTTGATTCTTCTAACAAGATCTTTGGAGGGAATTCGACTTCACAAAAGTAGGAGTGGGTGGGGGACATATTGGCTAACTAGTTCACGTGTCAACTCATTAAGGAGAAAAAATATTTCTGCAAAAAAATCTTTGTCCTGTCATGTGGGTCTCGTATAATTTGAGAGCTGTGTGTTACACATCCAGCTGCTCTTGGCTTCAGCTGGCTGCTGTGCCCTAGGAAATTACTGTGGAAGAAATGGAAACAGCCCAGGCTCAGAGAACTGCTCTGGCTAGAGGAACTGGAAGCTCAAGATCAACTTTGCTTATTTTGCTCAGGGCTAGGCCTAACTGCCCCAGCTACCTACCTGGGATAGGAAATGATGGAGCCCTCTCAGCTCTGAACTGGGAAAGGAAGGCTTTCTGGACCATGGCAGATCCTGGGGTCCTGAAGCCACCCTAATTGGGATTAAGTGCCTGTCACTATCTCTAGTTGTCAGTCCCTCTGCACCTTCCCCAATTTCTGCATCCATCCCAGAGCTTCCCCTGTGGGCTGTCTGACCTGTCCTGTTTTTTATTTTTTCCTCTCCAGGTGTGAATCAACTTCTGGGGCCTTGGTTATGAGTTGAAAGCAATGTTACAAAAAGTGAAGAGCTGGAATGTGGGGGAAATAAAAGGCTTGTTTTCCCAGAGTTGCCTAAGGTGTTTATTGGGGATTGGATTGAGATGAGAACTTTAGGATTAGACAAGTTTGGGAGGCTTGGGACCTTTTCCTTGTTGACCCTTTAGTCTGGAATACAGGTTGGCAGGACTTTTGCTACTTCTGCTCTTCCCACGGTTGTGACGTGGCTTTGGAAAACACCTGGTTTTGATCTCAGCTCTGCAACTTTGTCTTGTTTTCTTCTATGAAATAAAATTGATAATTCCAGCTAGTTGGGGGGTCTAGTCTTGGAAATGCTTTGACATAAACGCAGTGTGACCTTGGGCAAGTCATGCAATTCTTCAGGACATCAGTTAACTGAAAGGATTTGACTGATTGAGTTTTACCAACATTGACGTGCAAAGATTCTTCGCACTTGGGGCCCAGTCCGAGCTGAATGGTTACTAACCTCAGATCAACCCATTTTCCCGCCTTTTCCGAGCCCAGCAGCAGCCTCCCCTTACCCCTCCCACCTCTACCCTACACGCAGGCGCAGATCACGCAGATCGCGGCTGCTTTCCTTACATCTTTGCCCCATCAAAGCTTCCCCTAGCAACAAGCTTCGGCTCGGAGCGAAGGCAGGGGGAGCGCATGCGCCCCGGCTCTCTCCGCCGCCAGTCGTCGGTCTGCGTGCTGGGCTCCTCCCCTTGTAAGCCCAGCCCTTTTTCCCGCTTCCTCCCGCCCCGGGTCCGCGTGGCTGGGCGCGCGCGCATTCGGGCTCGGTGGCTGCCGGTCTCCACTGCCGCGGCAGTAAGGAGAGAGGGGCGGGGCCCTTCCCTTCGGGGCCCCGCCCCCCTTGGCCCGGCGTTTCTACCGCGCCTGCGCGTTCCCGCCCGGTCTCCATCTTGGAATTGGGAGGAAGAGGGAGAGGGAGACCGGGACGAGACCGGGGCTGTGGTGCGGAGAGAGGCTGAGACGGAGAGGAGGCGAGGGAGAGAGGGCGCGGGGACTGTCAGCAGCGCCTTAGCTACAGTCTTTCAGCTATCCTTGGGAGAGAGAAGGGGAAAGGGAGGAGGCCGGGGCCGGAGTGGGGGCTGTCACCCTCGGACCCCGGCGTGAGAGCGGCCGTGCGGCCGGACGTCCTCGGGGTGGGCCCCTGTAGGTGGCTGAAAACCTGGGGCTCAGGCTCCTGGGTCCCAAATTTCAGGGCTTGGCCCCTCGCTTCTCAGATACCCAGGTATCAGCCCTCCTATTCCAGATATCCGGGACTCGGGTCCCAACGTTTCTAAACCTGGGTCTCTGTTTCATAGAATTCCAAATATCTGGGGTTAATTCCCCAGGCGTTCAAATATCGGATTCAGTCTTCCCCCTTTCCAATATACGGAGTTCAGACCCCAAAATCAGAAACCCGGGATTCAGCAACTGTCGCCCTCGAGGAGGGGGAGGACTGGACCGCGAGGTCAGATCAGGTTGTCATCCCCTCCCCTCCACGGGAGGCTTCCCTGGCCCGCCCCTCAGGAAGGGCGAAAGCCGAGGAAGAGGTGGCAAGGGGAAAGGTCTCCTTGCCCCTCTCCCTGCTTGGCAGAGCCGCTGGAGGACCCCAGGCGGAAGCGGAGGCGCTGGGGCACCATAGTGACCCCTCCCAGGTGAGACACGGGGTGCAGGGGCGCGGGTCCCTGTGTCTAGCACTGAGAAGAAGGGGTGCTCCTTTCTGAGAAGCTGGGCCTGGGTAGGCCCTCTCCTCAGGATGGGGAAGCCCAACTGAGCCAGGGGTCAGCCTCTGGCTAGCCTTGCCTTCTATTGCCACTTTCTTCCCCTTCCTCTTCCCTTCATTGTGTCTGGTTAGTAGGGGATCTCAGGTGACAGAAGGGTCTCTGATGTCACCGGGTGTCACACCCTAAGGTGCTTGAGCTAATAAGATTGGTTTGCAACCTTCTGTTCTTCCCTCACAGCCACCTCTTCTCCATGATTATACCCCCTTTTTCCTTCCTGCTCTGGGGTGTTGATTCCCACGGTGGGTTTGTTTATCTGCTTTTTAGTCCTGGTGTGGTTGGGTTTCTCGTCCTTGCTAGGAAGTGTGTGTGTGGGGGGGGGGGGGCTGACAATATTTTCCTCCAGCTACAGTACCTTCCAACCTCTTGCTGTGATGGTATAATCAAATACATTTGTCAAACGATCTATCTTTTACAAAGTGCTTTTACATCATTCTCTCACGACACCCCCCATTTACCCTGTGGTGGCTCTTTTATTGCTGTCTTCCCATTTTACAGTTGAGAACATTGAGGCCCAGAAAGATTGCCAAAGTTACACAGTGGTAGAATCAAGATTTGAACCCAAGTCCTCAATCAAGTCTTGCCCCTGATCCATACCTGTTTCTTGCCATATCTTTTCCTCTGAGTCTTCTCAGTGGTCCATAGAAGAAGGAGTTGGGGTGAGGTTTAATAAGAGTGGGGGTGAGATGAGCTTCCTTTCTAGGAGGGCTATACTCAGAAACTTTTTCTGATGGGAAGGCTGTGGCTCCTGCCTATTATGCCTCATGGATTTTTCTATCTACTGTGACCTTCATCTTTACCCTGATCCCATACTTTGGCCTGGGTTCCTGAGAGGGCTCTTTCTTCTGACAAATTATAAGCACTATGGTGTCTCTTAACCATTAAAGCTAAGCTGTTAGGGTAGGATGATCCCCCAAAGGATTAAAGCCTGTGGCGACCCTGGAGGCAAAGAAGGAAAAAATCCATATGCTGTGTGTCTGCATAGTGTTCCTAAGTGTGAGATCTCATTAAAATCTCACAACAGCCCCATGCTGTAATCCATTTTACTGAGAAGACCAAGAAATTATAAGGAACTTATTCAAAGCCCCTGTTGCTGTTTGTTGCAGATGGGATGTGTAGTGTAGGGACAGATAGATTTGGGTTTTCTCATCTGCGGGATGGAGATAACATTGTCTATTTTAGAAGGTGATTATGATTTAGCTCAGACCTTGGTAATTGCTCAAATGTTTGTTGTTATTGTGAGGAAGGGGACCTGTGTGACGTTTTGCTAATGGCTGGCATCTCTTATGTGTGGCTGAGGCCCTGGGTTGGCATTTTTGGGGCCAGAGCTGGTAAAGAGGTCAGGAAGATTCCTTTGGCAATTGCAGGCACCTGCCTTTGTGTGTGGGTGTGTTGTGCAGGTGAGGGGTGTTTGGCAGAAGGGAGAAATGGGCCTGCTTTGAGCAGCCTGGGAGCTGCTGAGGGCAATCAATCAATCTCCCAGGCTATTCTGAGCCCTCCACACCCTGGGGGCCCACTGGAGAGTCAGGCTCCCTCCTTGCCCTCCAGCTTCCAGTTGGGCTGAGGAGACAAAATTAACAACACAATGGGAAACAATGCATGACAGAATATAATTACATGCTAAAATTGTTAGGTGCTTTTAAGTAGCTAGAACTCTGCCTTGGAAGTCCACCTCTGCTGAAGGCTCCTTTGTGCCTAAATTCTAAGTGCTTAAACCTCACCAGGAGCCTGTCCTGGAATCCCTTTCAGGGTCCTGGTTCTGATATTCTGCAGGAACTGTCTATAGGTGTTTGGCTTGGTGCTCTAGGAGCTCTCCCCAAGGATTGGAGTGGTCAGGGGAGGCTTCCTGCAAGAGGGGGGCTGAGCGTGGGGTGATGTGCTGAGCAAGTAATGAGCTTGCAGGCCTAACTGGAGGGGAAGAGGTCCTGTTCTCTGACCTGGGAGGAGACCTTTTTCCTCTCTGTGCCTCAGTGACCTCATCTGGGAAATGGTGATCATGATTCTGCCCTGATTGTTTCATAGGGCTGTTATGAAAGCATGGCGGTGGAGGACCACTTGTGGGCAAGTCACTCAACCTTTCTGAGCCTGTTTTCTCATCTGTAAAATAATAATACTTACCTCTTAAGGTTGTGGTGAGGATTGAATGAGAGGTAATACATGTAAGGTGTTTACTATACATGCTCAGTAAATGTTATTCGAACAGTACAAATGCCCTGTACCTGTGTGTGATGCTTATGCAGTTGGACCGGACAAGTAAGGCAGCCTAGATCACGGAGGCCCTCAAAGCCAGATGCCATTTATATCCCTGTCCTTCCCATTCTAGATCTCCTCCCTGCCAGTGTCCCTAGCCCTTTCTGAGAGTGAGTCTCTTGGCTCCTCTGGGCCAATACCCACTTCTAACAATGGCCGGATTTCCACTGCCTCCGGCCTGGCTGTTTCCTGTTCTCTTCCAGGGTGTGAGAGGTTGAGGGAAGGAGGGGGCCTCCTCCTCAAGGGGAACAAGAAGGTGCCTGGAATTAGTTGGGGTATGGGACTTGTGGGACAGGACACTTGGGGATCTAGAGCACTGGTTCTATATCTTTGAGAGGAGAAATAAGGGTTATAGGGAAATAGGAACTTGTTGAGGGCTGAGGGGGTTGGTGAGGATGCTTAGCTTCCCAGAGTCTTCCTAGCAATTTTAGGGACTCCAGGGACCCGGCCCCCGTGATCTGGTTGCTAGGGCAACTTCATTTTTTTGGAGCTTTGATGTTGTTCCTAATCTCCCCCTGCCCTTCCTCGGCAGTGCCTCCCCCTCATCAAAGAACAAGGGGAGGAGAAGGTAGAAACTTGAGGGGCCCCTTCCTCTTCCTGAGGGCCCTGTCCTTGCTCTAAGGGTCCCATCTCCATTCCCCAGGCCAGGCCCCACTCTCAGGGCCCCCGAGGGCCACCATGCCAGCTGGGGGCCGGGCCAGGAGCCTGAAGGACCCCGATGTGGCTGAGCTCTTCTTCAAGGATGACCCGGAAAAGCTCTTCTCTGACCTCCGGGAAATTGGCCATGGCAGCTTTGGAGCCGTGTACTTCGTGAGTTGCATCTTGGGAGGCTGAAGTAGGGGTGGGGACTCTTATTCCGTACCCCTCTGGACTTGCAGCAGCACTTCTACACTGTACCACCCCAGGCTTTCCTGCTCTCTCCTACTGGGCCGGCAGGTCTTCCCACTACTCTGTTCTCATTGGGGTCTTCACCACCTTCTCGTCTGGTTCTCTAGGCCCGGGATGTCCGGAATAGTGAGGTGGTGGCCAT